CATTAGAGGTGGGGAAAGAGACAGTGCTCTGATGTTGCTGCAGTCAAAGGCTTCAGGGGAGGCATGTTTAAGACTCCTTTATCTTGGGTTTCCTTTTGTCTTCAGAGACCTCTGTATTTTAATCCTCCTCATAGGAATCTCTCAACTCTAGGAGGGACCTTAGATTAATTTCTTCAAATTGTGAGGTCTATCTTTCTAGAGTTTCCAGCTTCTTAAAGGAACAAGCCTATCTTCTAATAATAATCTCATTTGTTGGCCAGGCCTTTTTGATTTGGAAGTTTTTTTTTTTTTGAAAGCAAATTTATCAATCTGTTGAACAATTTGTCCTGTCCTACATGACAGGAATATTTGAGGATTCTTATTGAGCCACTGGGTTCTGTTGAATCATTTGAGATAGAGAAACAAGGGTGTTGATCACTACTGTGATTTATGTAACTATAAAAATATTCCTTGCTACCTTGGTACACTGTAGAGAGAGCTGCAGCTGACTAGTCTTTTATAGATATGGGATGGTTTCTAAGATAACAATGGGGCAAAAAATAGTCTCTGTACCTGGAACTTCTGGACAGTTTGTTTTATTCCCTTTGTATGGTGATAATTTTGATACTCATGCCTTTTTAAAAATGTATATGAAGGTGTTTGTGATTTGGGAACTATTAAGTGCAAACAACTCTGTGCCTGTTTTTGAAACTAATTAAAATGCAAGGATTTAGATACAAGTTGAATTTGAGACAAAAAAAGAATTGGTTTTACTGGACTTTGCCTCTAGCAAGTTTATCTCAAATACCAATTAGCTTACTTTTGATTGTTTGGGTCTGACACTTTCAAATGTTAATTTTAGAAACCGGGGCAGAGGAAAATTTGATTCCAAGATTTAGGAGAGATAACCTAAAATTAATTAAAAATACCATTTCATTTCGTCTTAGAGCATGTCTAAACATGACTCAAAAGGAAGCTTGAATGCCATAAGTTAGAGAAAGACAAAGTGGGCAATCTTGGGAATAGAAGTCTGCACAAAGCTACATGGAGGAATGGGGGTTCCCGGGGGTTGAATAAGAATGTCCACTCTCCAGACTTTGATGATCTCCCATAGAAGGCCTCACCCTTCCGTGGGGAGCTGAAGGGGGATGGGATGGGAGGTCAGTTTGGGGCATGGGAGGATGGGAGGGAGAGGGAACTGAGATTGATGTAAAATAAGATTGTTTCTAATTTAAATTTAAAAAGTGGGAAAAAAGGAGGTCCACTGTCAGGATAGACATAGTTGGGATTTTGTTAGTATCTGAAGAAGAGGTAGAAAGAGGGAAAAAGAAAGGTTAGTTTTACTTTGGATGTCATACAGTTGGGCATACTTAGCAGCAAAGATCTGTAGATAACTTCACTGAGTGGGTAGGGGGCTGCTATCTTTGGGATAGACTGGAGTATCATGTCTCCACCTAGGACCAGTGATAAAACTCAGCCAAGGGAAAGTAGCTTTCCCTTAATAGGCTTTGGGCAAACTCTGATACCTCCTCTCTCCATCCTTTCATTTGGTATTTTTGTTGTTGAGAAAGAACCAATGCAGAGCTTCCTTTATCTGTCTTTGTTGCCTAGGAAAATGTAAGATGGAGTCCACAGACAAGTGTGAAGGAGGGGTCCATACTTGTTGATCTCCAAGCCTGCTAATGGCTATCTCCTATCCTGATTAACAGTTTGCTATAAATGTATGCTACAAACTAATTAAGACAAAAAAACACTTCTGTTCACAAAGGGGCAATGTTGGAGTTACAGTTCATTGAATTATTAGCCTTGATATTCATGTTTGTATTTAGAATGATGTTAGGAAATATGTAGTGTACTACGTAACTTTGGCAGGTGAAGTATGATGAAAATGTCATTAATCGTTTTTGTTCATGTAAGCTTTTAAGGAAGTGAAATGGTTATTAGGAGCTAGAGATGGCTCTATAGTTAAGAGTACTATCTATTTTTCTAGAAGACTTCAATTCAACTACCAGCACCCAGCTGGCAACTAAGAAACCTAGGTAATTCCAGTTCCAGAGGATCCAACGCCCACTTCTGACCTCTGTGGGTACTGTATGCACATGGTACACAGACATACATGTAAACAAAATTTAACAATACACATAAAATAAAATAAATATTTTTAAAATACAGTAACTATAGCTATGCATATTTAGTGTAGAAACGGAACCATCACAGAGTTTAGTGCATATGTTCTACAGATAGACTATGATAGGGTTTTGAAGAGAACTGGCTTTCAAGATGCTTTGAAAGGTAATCAATTTTTGCTGACCAATAAACATTATAAGCTTGTTTTTTAAACTCAGTCACACATACACACACACACACACACACACACACACACACACACACCTCCACTCTCGTGCAGTGTTTTCATGTTCATTCTGCCTTAAATACGTAGTGATAAAATAAGCAGAGAGATGGCCATAGTAATACACACATACCCACACACACACACACACACACACACACGCACGTGAAAAGCATAAAGGGAAAATTATCTGGTAATTTGGCACTAAAGATATGTATCTAGTAGGAAATAGATATGACTACGGGTTCTTTAATGAGAACCTAAAACCAAATTGACCTTAGCTGTGTTGGGAACTAATAATTGACTCTCTGGTGAAACTAGAAAGTCAAAGAGAGGTGGGTTCACATCTGTGATTATGTTTTACTAATGACACAACCACAGACCAAAGTGAATTCCTGGTGTTAACAGGATACGAAAACAAACCTTTATTCAGAAACATGGGCTAAGCCTCCTATACTGAACTGCATGAATGAGACAGTAGATGATGTCCTCAAAAATTCCTGGTTAGTTTCTGAAAGGAGCCAAGGAATAGAGGCAGGAGACAGCAAAAGTCCTAGGCAAAAAATGAAAGAACTATCTACTAAATCTAAAATTCTGGTGTCTAAAATAATGCTTAAGAAAGAGCAGTGAACTGAACAATCAGGTAGTATGTTACACATTAAATGTAAATATGACAAAATTACAAAAGCACTTAAATTTCAAACTAAAACACAAAATTCAAAGACAGTTGCTGTTTTAGAGTCAGTACCAACAGGTTATCCTCAAAATGTAAAAATATTGTCAGTTAAATAAGTATAACAGATAAGATAAAGTTTAGATTGGATATAATTCAGAAAAAAGAGTTAAATAGGAAGGAAAGGAGCAGAATAAATTTACTTAAGGGCAATGCAGAATGATGAAAGGGAAAATTTGAAATACACATAGGTGATAAATTGACACATGCCAACTTTCATCTAGAGAAAATGGAACTGGTAAAGAAAATTTAAAAGAAATAATAATTGAAAGTGTTTAGAATGAAAGAAATAATACAACCTAATGAATGCTAAATGTGATTAGGGTAAATTATATTTTGGACACTAATGAAAGTATAGAATATAAGTAATGAAGAGAAAAAGATCTTAAAAGCTAACAAAAGACTAAGCATAGATTATAACAGAGTAGATATAGATGTCTTTTTTAAATTTCATTTTACATTCCAAACTTCTCCCTCCTACCCCTCCTCCCACTCCCCTCACCCTACCAGACCACCCCTATCCACTACTCCCAACATGTAAGGGCTCCCAGGAGGAATCTACAAAGTCTGGCACTTTAAGTTGGGGCAGGACCAAGCCCCTCTCCCCTGCATTAAAGCTGAGCATGGCATCCCACCACAGGAAATGGGCTCCAACAAGCTAGTTCATGCACCAGGAATAGATCCTGGCCCTATTTCCAGGAGCCCATCAGATAGTCCAAGCTTCACAACCATCTCCCACATGCAGAGGGCCTAGCTTGGTCCCATGGAGGCTCCACAGCTGTCTGTCTAGAGTTCATGAGTTTCCACAAGCTTGGTTCAGCTGTCTCTGTAGATTTCTCCATCGTGATCTTGAAGTCCATTTCTTTGACTGGTTTCCTAGAGCTTGGCCTGGTGCTTGGTTATGGATCTATGTGTCTGGTTCCATCAATTACTGGATGAAGGCTTTTTATGATGATAGTTGGGTACTCACCGATCTGATTATAGGGGAATCACAATCTCTGTTCACTCTTGGTTAACTAATCATAATTAAGCTTATTATTGCAGTGAGCAATTTATATGTGTATCATCTGAGTAGAGCCAGTAAAGTCATTAATTGGAAGCTAGGTGAGTCAATACAGCTCTGGTTTTTATTCCAAACATAGTAAACTATTATATAGGTACTTAGTATTGAGTCATTTAGCTAGTTATAAATAGATGGCAGAGAATAGTGCAAAGAAACCATTATAAACTCCCATGGAGAGTAGATAGGGCAGAAATATAAGGACAATTGGGTGGTATCATCAATGATTTAGATGACAATATTTTTTCATTGATAGGACAATGGTATTGGACTTTATAATCCACAAATATTAGAGGCAGTGGCTGAGAGATGTTCAAAATACCAGACATGTATTTGTGAAGATTGGTAGTTGAGGAGTGGGAAGGTCCTTATGACAGAAGCAGAGATGAGAAGCTGGGGTGGTGACACCATTGACACCAAGATTAGTCACCAGTAATATTGATAAAAGTAGGCATGAGATTAAAATATTTATCAAAGTGCTTATAGATTTAGAGACTTAAGGGAGACAGAAATAAGAAAGACATTTGCCTCCTGGTTTGACAGATTATGTGAGAGTCAGATGAGGTGTTGTGTTAGAAACCACAGTGAGTCTCTCAAAGGGAGCAGTTATGGGGGAGAGAACATTTACTTTCACCAATGTGTTTACCCTGGCATCTCTCAACAAAATAAGGATACTGATAAGTGCTCTCCTGATTCATGGAAGATTAGAAAGTTAAGTAATCTGAGTATATTGATTTATTTTAAAATGTTAATGGGGAAAGGTACTTCTCTACCCTAGGTTTAGAGTCGTCCAGCTTGTGAGAGTTCTGTGTAGCCCCATGGTTCTCTGAATCACACTCTACATGTAAGGTAATAGTCTTCCCTATCTTTACTTTCAGACATTTCAGCAGTCCTCTCTGCAGCACAAATCAAAGAAGAAAAACAAAGGTAATAAAATAAAATGAACCTTTAACTTCCTCCTTTTTACTGTGCTAATCACCAGTACATTTCAGTAATCCTCTCATTGCCTTGAAGCCAGTGTGCTTCAGATCACTTACCATGCAGATACCTTTGATAAGATATGGCCTCAAAGAGTCTTGAGATAAGAATTACATATTTCTGATTATGCTGTCATCTATATGGAAGATTTTAAGATTATGGATTAATCTTTTGTCTTTATGCACTTTCCAAAATTAAGAATACTACCACTCACTATCTTTAGGAGCTATCGCAGGCAAGAGCAAAAGACGAATTTCTTGCAAGGATCTTGGCCGTGGTGACTGTGAGGGATGGCTTTGGAAAAAGAAAGATGCAAAGAGCTATTTTTCGCAGAAATGGAAGAAGTACTGGTTTGTCCTAAAGGATGCGTCCCTATACTGGTATATTAATGAAGAGGTAAGGGAGAACACATTTGTATTCTCATTGGTTCATTATCTGTACCAAAAAGTGTTGACATTTGAGCCATTTGATTTTAATTCATATCACCCTCAAGCCAATTCAGGATCCATATTCAGTATTCTGGAAGAACAGTTGCTCCATTTTTCTAATGTAGCAACATATCTGAAGCACAGTTAAAATATAGTGAAATTCTCTGTTTCTAAAGATACAAAGCAACTAATATAGTAGCTTAACTAAAAACAGAGATTTTTGAAAACCTCTTGCTTATGGTTTTATAGGGTTTTTCTGTTTCTATTTAGAAGGTGGGGGGACTACTTAGTAACTTAAGTAAGTATTGTTTCAATTTATTTCAGTTTCTCCTGAAGAAAAAAATGAACTAGTAGACTAATTTTGAAATTAAATATCCATTACATTTGACCAACTTGAGGGGAGAAGAATGTTTAATGTATTTTAATTGTTCTTATGATTTTTCTAGTTTTTTGTATAAGATATTTGTATCTAGACTAATCATATCACAATCAATCATGTATCTCACCAAATGTGCCAAAGTTAGTTTTATTCATTGATTTTCCCTTGACATTGCTTTGACTTGTTTGTTGTACCTATCTACTACTTCACTTTATTATAATGTGTGTGTGTGTGTGTGTGTAATGTGTGTGTGTGTGTGTGTGTGTGTAATGTGTGTGTGTGTGTGTGTGTGTGTAATGTGTGTGTGTGTGTGTGTGATTTTTATACAAATAGTACCCTAAGACATTAATCAATTTTATTTGAAGAGTGATTCCTTAAAGTTACCATAATTATTAGACCTTTGATTGTAACATACAATATCTAGAGAATGTTGTGTTCTATTGTGCTACTGTCTTTTACTATGGAGCAAGAGTAGACTCAGAAATACACTACTTGAGAGACTGTGCTTAGTTCTTCATCCACTTTCTTAGAGATGAATAAACAATGTCTGACAAAATGCTAAGTGTTCAAGTCATGTTCATCAATAAAAGACTTATTTGGAAGATATTAATTTCCTATATGCTTATGTGAAAATATTGTATTTTGTTTTGATATTTTGTGGCAGTCATATAATGAAATAAAATCTGTTTGTACTATGTCTTGTTTACTATAGTAAGCAAATATATATTTTTATTTGATAGATATACTAAATTCATATGCTAATCAAGTAGTATCAAAAATAAAGTATCTGTTTCTCTTCATTGTGACGAGTCTATAAGTAAATCTATCAGACAATCTGTACATACTAAATTATATTTTATCGTTTACACTATAAGGGATAAAATTCTTTTGTCCATTTTATTAAATAGTGCCTATATTTCAGTCACTGGCAAGTTATTACTATTATTCATGTAAAGTATAAATGAATAATTTTAGTACATATTTCCAGGAAAGCTTTATTATTATTTTACAGGAAATAGAGTATTTTATGTTGCATCATTAAGATGAGATAATATTCCAAAATATTTCAAATTGTAAATTAAGGCTGTCAAAAGTAACATAAGATAGAAGTCAGTGGAAACATTTTCTTTAACCCATGATTGGTAAAAATAATTAAAGACAAAAATTTAGTACTGCTTATGTATATAACATACAAATTTCAGTTACTACCTGTAGCTCAAATTTTTAACTTTACCATAGTTCATTAATCACAGAAATAAGCCAAATGCCCAGAGAGCTGAGAGTAGCATTTTTCTTCAAAATAGTGGGAGAGAGAGTGATCTTACTTAAATTTGATGTATAAGGAGTTATGGGCCTGTTTAGCAGATTAAATAAAATCTTGGAATTGTAAAAGTCTATGAAGCTTTATCATAACCAGGACAAGGAATACAATGACTGGAAAGTGTAGCTACCAAATTACATTATAGTTGATTTAACTTGAGACAAATATAGTATTTTGGAAAGTTCTCCTACCTTGTTTTATTAACTAGTATTAAAGAGAGGAGGGTTTATGAATTTTATTAAATTTTTCAGATGAAAAATGGTGTGTGTGTGTGTGATGTATCTGAAAACACATATTTGAAAATCAAGTTGTCCTACTTAATTTCTGAACTATTGCATACAGAAAATAATTGTTACATAGAAAATTATTGAGGTTTGATTAGCAAATGGCTGTAAAACTACAAATTTGTATTATATATAAAATACAAGTCCATATTTTATATAGAAATATTAAAATGATAGAAAATGGGGCTGGGATATTATTTAGCACTTGAGAGCATTTATTCTGTTTCTTGCACCTATATGGTGGCTCGCAGCCAACTGTAACTCCAATCCCTGGGGATCCAGTGCCATCTTCTAAACTCTGTCAGGCAACAGACATGCACATGATGCTCTTACATGCATTCTGAAAAAACAAGTCTTACACATAAATTCCTCTTCTTAAAATGATAGAAAATTTTGTACTAAAAATGTACAGCTATTTTGTTTATTTGGCCTGAAATGTTCTTCCCTTTTACTTTGTTGTTGTTTATGTTCTAAAGATCAAACCCAGAGCTCAATACTTCCTGCACAAATGAGCACTCTACCACTAAACTACTTCTTCGGCCCCCAAAATTTTTTATAAAACATGTTTTACTTTGAAAGTTATTTTCTATACTCATTTTAATATAAAAATAATGTGTGTATTTTAATTTTTAGAAATTCTAAGTTTTCAAAATATTCCTTTAAACTGTGGATATGTAGAATTAATGAAATGCAAGTGGAATTATTAACTAAATGAGTAGCACATTTATTACTCTAAATATTTAAGTCATACTTACATGGTTTAATTAGCTTCAGACCTCGTTGGTATTATACATTAACAAAAATGTTGTTTGTTTAGGATGAAAAAGCAGAAGGATTCATCAGTCTGCCTGAATTTAAAATTGATAGAGCCAGTGAATGCCGCAAGAAATAGTAAGTTAAATTTTCTTGGAGAAAGGGGGAAGAAGGGATAATTTATTTTGTAATTTTCTAGATTTTAAGTTATAGTTTAGCAGAAGCTTTGAAATTAAAATTATAAGAAAGTAGTTTCAGGGATATAGCATGAAATTTTACTTAATTAATTCTGTCATGATAGAAGCATTATGTATGTGAAGTTAGGTTAGACATTGCATTAATTTTATTCATAAATATTTAGTTTGAGCCAGCAAGATGTCTCATGATTACATGCAATCCCGATGACCCAAATTCAATCCTAGAATCCATGGTTAGAGGGAACCAGTTCTTAAAAGCTTTTCTTTGGCATGTGCACATACATAAAAACACCAGTGATGATAATGTTAATAATAAATAAACAAAATAGAATACTTTTGGTTTTATTTCAAGACAAGAGTTTCACATTGTAGCTCTGGCTGTCCTGGAACTCTCTGTAGACCAAGCTGGCCTCGAATTGAACAGAGGTCTGTCTGACTCTGCCTCCTGGGTGCTGGGATAAAGGTGTGTGCCACCATACAGGTTTCAAATTATAATTTTATTAAAAATTTTTCAGGCAATATATTGATCACATTCTTTTGCCTGTCCCAATTCTAATACAAAATTTTAAAGGTATTTGAATTAAAACCTTTTTACATTTTGTAAAAAAGTAAATGTAAGCCAGGCATTGGTGCACACCTTTAATCCCAGCACTCGGGAGGCAGAGGCAGGTGGATCTCTGTGAGTTCGAGGCCAGCCTGGTCTCCAGAGCGAGTGCCAGGATAGGCTCCAAAGCTACACAGAGAAACCGTGTCTCAAAAAACCAAAAAGAAGTAAATGTAACTCATTTTTTGTGGTTATATTCACAGTGCATTCAAAGCCTGCCATCCTAAAATCAAAAGCTTTTATTTTGCTGCTGAACATCTTGATGACATGAACAGGTAAAGTATTATTTACATCTCAAATTACTTAATTAAGCATTGTCTTCAATAATTTTTAAAGACTCCCATTGTAGATTCTGTATTAATTAATGAAAATTTGAGTAGTCCAGCTATAGTTGCATATGATTATACTTCATTTTACAAAAAATTGCCTAATTCATTATTTAAATTTCACATGCACACAATACAATTCATATTTAAATAATAATAATGGATAACATTTTAGAACTTCAACTTTTGTTGACTGTCAATTCTAACACAAAAGTACGATAACAAATATAAATCCAAAATATTACCACAAAAGGGGTTGTTTTTAGATGTTAAATTTAAGGAGATTTCTTAACATGTATTTCTAAATTCTCTAAAAGGCACACAAAACCTGACTTACTCAAGTCCTAAGTATATTTGGTAGAATATACATTTCAATAATTTAGGTCTACTATCTAATGTAGTAATTCTTCTTATCACCTTCATCTGTCACTGGACAGGCTTATATAGCCAACTGGTTTGATGGCTGTGTTTATTTGGTGGCTAAAGGAAAACCTACGTATAGTTTCCTCTTTGTATCCCACATTGTTTCACGATACAATTTTAGTCATTTAAAGCTACTTTTCTTTATTTCCTTTCATTTTCCTTTTCTATTTAAAAAAATTATAGAAACTGGGCATAAAATGAAAATGTCCTCCGTTTTATAATTGCAGAAGCCAATGTATATTGTGTATAATTTCCCTACATTTAGGAAGAGGCATCAAAGACTAGTGACCAGAACTGTGACCTTTTAGACAAGACTGAATCCTAGATTACAACTCATTAGCTATGTAACCTTATGCAAGAAACTTAGCTTTTCTGTACTAAATAAATGACCCATTTATATAAATGAGAAAAATCGCCCTTAGTAGGTTTTTTTTATGCAACCTAAGTCTTCAGTAGTAATAAGCATTAGTGTTTATATACTTTTGTTCTCTTACCTCATTTACTTTTCTTTAGATGCCTTTAATGATACCTGAACATTTTAAGCACAAAATTGTGCTGCTTCATGGTTTTATCCCTAGTATTTACTTTCAATAGGCAATTTTTAAAAACACTTGAGTTTTTGTTGTTTTTTGATGAAATTATTTTTTATAAATTTTTATTTAAATTAGAAACAAGCTTCTTTTACACATCAATCTCAGTTCCCTCCTCCTCCCTTCCTCCCCTCCTCCCCTACCCCCCACTGGCCTCCTATCGCATCCCCTTTCTGCTCCCCAGGGAGGATGAGGCCTTCCATGGGGATCTTAAAAGTCTGTCATATCATTTGGAGCAGGGCCTAGGTCCTCCCCCCATGTGTCTAGGGTGAGAGAGTATCTCTCCATGGGGAATAATCTGGCTCAGTCATTAAAGGCTAGGCTCACAACCAAAAATATAAAAAAAAATGCTTGTTAATGGGATAAAATAGTCAGTGCTAAAAACATTTACATATTAGTAGTGATCTGGAACGGTACCCATGTAAAGCTTTGTTTGGTTACCTGATTATTATTATACATTAACAAGATAATGTGGGTATTGCTTTATTCCATATGTAATCTTTGAAAGCATGCCTAATTCAAGAGAGGATATATTTTTAAATGAACATAATCATAGTTAATACATGCTTTATCTGGTTATTTTATGGCTTTAAAGGGCATTATTTTTGTATTACATTATAGCACAGTACAAAATAATATATATTTGTACTCTAAATTTTTTTCAAAAGTATGTAATGCCAGTAGTAACAGGACCTAGTAATTAGGGTATAAAAGTATTCATTAAATTCAGTTTTTCCATAAAATCTGTATACACAGATATGTGCACTTTCTCTCTCTCTCTCTCTCTCTCTCTCTCTCTCTCTCTCTCTCGCTCTCTCTGTGTGTGTGTGTGTGTGTGTGTGTGTGTGTGTGTGTGTGTGTGTGTGTGTGTGTGTGTGTGTGTGTGTCCTTTTAACTAAGATTCCTGGTAGAATTAAATAAAAAAAAAAACTGAGATAGAGTTTGGCTGCACTAACAATAGCAGCAATGCATAATGAAGAAAGCACTAAGGAAAATTACCTTAATGTTATTCATGAAAATGTTTACTAGATCATATAGGTTAAAATTATATATGCACTTTCTTTGGCAAGCTAAATCCTCTTGTATTTAGAGACAAGATTCTAATGTATTTGTGAGCTGTGTTTCCTCTTGGGTCATTCAGATTACATGAGTTCATTAAAAACTTATTTCATGCTAAAACTATTAATTTTACAGGCAAGCTCTGTAATGTTTTCTCCTATTTCTATAAATCAGACTGGCTATTAAAAGTGTCTCCAAAGGACCATTTGTTCTGTAAAAAACAAAAGAGCAGACATATTTTGGAGTGTTTATGCATTTGAAGGAGAAGAATTGATATGACTTTGGTCATTTCAAAACCTTTTATATTACACACATTAACAGCTTTCCATAACTGTTCCATTGAATGTACATCTTCAGTCTGGGAACAATTTGTATCACAGTAGATTACTGCCTATTAAAGACTTAAATCCTTTTTCAAGTTTAATAAAGAACATATTTTATATGTAATGTTATCCTATATCTTCTTAGACATTTGCAATAAATATTTCTAACAAGTAAATGAATTATCATTGATTTCTTTCTTTTTCCAGGTGGCTTAATAGAATTAACATGCTGACTGCAGGGTATGCAGAGAGAGAGAGGATTAAGCAAGAACAAGGTAAAGGAATACCTTTTATTATATTATTATATTACACTTTTGTCTTGCATAAAAAGGCAGGACTAATGAAAGGTAAGTTTTGGTGCAATATAGAGAATGAAACATAGTAACATCGAAATCAAGTTGGGGGGAGCATAAACAGAGGCCTTCTGGGAAGGGAATGTGGGAAAGACTTTTGTTTGGCTCTGTTTTCTAAGCTGATTCTTGTAAGATGGAAATGGTGTAGACCAAAGGCAATAGCACTAATATTCCACAGAATGGAAGCAGATTGTACAATTCTTCAAATAATATAGAGGCCATCTCCGTCACATCAATATGCACAGGCAAACCTCATCTAACACTGTAATTTATAGACCTTAATTTATGGTCTGAAGTAGCTCTTTAAATCTGTTTTTTACATGGTTATAAAGATATAAGAGTAGGAACTATGGGTATATGGGTAATATATAGATAAGAAAATTAATCTAGAAAAATCAAGTTGTATGTATCACAGAACTTTTATTTTCAAGCTTCAGAATTTTGTTACTTGATGTTGCTTTCAAGTTGGGCATAATCTTGATTATAATGAATTTTTGTTGTTATGGAACTAAGTTTCGTTGTGGATGAAAGGACAGGTTAATTTATATTGCACATACAAGTTCCAAAGAGTATTTATTTTGTGCATGCATGCTGCCTTGCTCTATTGTGTAAGTATATATTTTAATGCCTAGTAAAATTTGGTAGAAAAAAATCATAGGCAGATGATGATACTTGCTATTGCCACAGAGTGAAAAGGCACTGTAACATGCATCAGAAGCATATTACACTTACTACTTAATATATGGCTAAGTCCCTTGGTCTTAGGAAACTGATGAGTCACATGTCAACACCACTCTTTTATGGTTATTTGATATCTCCTGAGTAATTCTTAATGCTGAGGTTAAGTTCCACACACAATATATCTCTTTGGAGTTAAAAAGAGAGCTAGTACCCAAAGCTGTGAAGAACAAGTAGGGAGAGACAAAGTACTGAACAGGTACTGTTGTTATACTTAGATAAGAGTAAAGAATAAAAGTTCTGGTGTATTATTGCCCAGTAAGATGGATATAGATAATGGCAATATGGGGTATACTTCAGAAGTCTAGAAAAAAAAAGGAATTTTTATGTTTTACAACAAAAATAATTCCTTGATGTTATTGTAAAGTTTTAGTCACAAAAAAGTGAGTGACCTATATTGTATATTTTTCATAGTTCTAAATGAGAGCAAGTTTTAAATATATGTCCTAAAAAATATGTCCTTTGTGACAACATATAATGGTAAAAAGGAACTTTCCCTCTACTACTGATGGCCATGTTTATTCGTAATTACTTATAAAATTTGATATTTTGCAAGATGCATCAAAATATATATTTATATTATTTTAGAGAGATAAAAATTCCATTTGCTCTTAGAAAAAAATCAGAGTGGTTTCATCACTAAGCTATAGTGTGTGTAATATTTCACATGTTCCCAAAGAGCCTAAGACTTTCAGTGTTGCCTTTTATCTAGCATTGTTCTCTCCCTTGGAGCTTAGCATAAGAAGTTGATTTGTAAAATAATATTTCTGCTGTTTCTTAAGAAACGCAGCAAATTTTTAGATTGATGGTGCCTTTTAGTAACCCTAAAATCCTATCAAATAGGGATTAGAATTATTCCTAATTTAACTGAGGAGGAAAAATAAACACTTTGAATCTTGTATGTATGGTAATAGCTCTGGACCCCTGGATAAATGCTAGTCATCGCCTTTTCCAATGTGCTAATAAGGACCACTTGAGGTATTCTTGCACCAAAATGCCATGGTATCAATGAAAACATTAAGGATAAACTCAGCCAGCTTTCTTGGAAATAGTGGGAAGGATAAGAATAGAATGATCTTAGCGAGCTTACTACTTCGAGTGGGGTGGGGGTAGGTGAATGCGAGCATTGACTTCCAGGAAGATTTCAGGTTCCCAAAAAATAGCCCAGAACCTAGGACTCCAATTTCATTCTTCATTGCTCAGAAATGTTACAAAGAAAAAAAAAAGAATATCTGTGAAAATGAACATCAGGCATTCACTGCCTTTGTGATCTGTGTCAGGCTGTCCTGACACAGCAAATATACCCAAGAAGATAAATGTTCCTAATAACTCTTGAGTTCATTCAAGGTACAAAGAACTTGAATATATGTTACTTTATTTAGTACTCCCACATATACAACTACAAAAGTCAGTTGTTATTATTAGCTGCTCTTTTACAGATTATAAAATAGGCCCGACAATGAAGTTAAATTGTGCCTATAAGAGTGTCAATATATCCAGGTGTTGGTGGCACACACCTTTAATCCCAGCACTTGGGAGGGAGAGGCAGGCAGATCTCTGTGAGTTCGTGGCCAGCCTGGTCTCCAGAGCGAGTGCCAGGATAGGCTCCAAAGCAATACAGAGAAACCCTGTCTCGAAAAACCAAAAAAAAAAAAAAAAAAAAAAAAAAAAAAAAAAAAAAAAAAAAGAGTGTCAATGTATGAAGTAGTTGTATGGTGAAGAATTGAACCTTTACCTGCTTCTGAATATCAATCATGCTTTTTCTACAATCATTTATTTAGATATGTTTCTGGGTATCTATGTCAATTCATCTTTGAGGTAGGACTTAGTTATGTTGGTGGTCATTGTCCAGTGTCTCGATTTATTTCCACTGGGATTTTTGAGACAGGGTTTAGCTATGTAACCCAAGCTGATCTCAAACTTAAAATTCTGGGTCAGTCTCCTCAGCACTGGAGTTTTTGCCAAATACAAAAAAAAAACAACAACAACAAAAAAAAAACAGGTATCTAAGTGGGATTAATTAGACACTGTATTTTTTCTCAGTGGGTGTTGTCAGGGTCCTTGTGTTTTAAGACCTAAATAGGTCTTATTTTATGTCCAGTATTTATTACTAGAGACTTTCTATCCACAGTAGCAGAAGTCAAAAATCAGGAGTATGGAAGGAAGATTAAATCACATTCCTATACTTAACATTAAACTTCCTTGCAGTGTCAAGCAAGAGTCCCAGAAATGTAGATCTCATAAGAGCTTTGGGTCAACACAGTTTCTCAGTTCAAACCCAGCTCCATTATTTCCTACCAAGAACGTAACAATTTCTGGAAAAAAAAATGTTAGTTGCACTCATTTTTAGTCAGCACCACAGGAAAACATTACAATCGAGAATTTCTAGAAACAGAAAGGCTTCTACAAATGTTTGTGCTGTGATTTTTCACTTGACTGAATACTGCTTAAGTCTTGTTGTGGTAGTTGTGTTAGGATCTAAATTTTCATACAAGTTTCCTTTACTCTTAATACCTCTTCTCTCACCTGAAATTGCTGTGATAATCATCCTGACTTTTTGCTTGAAACTCACATAAGAATCAATCAGTAGTTGTGACTAAGATATATAGTCTGATTCTGATTATTGACCTTTTGTTGGATTTGACTTACAATATTAATGTATCTCTCAGAGCTCTTTGTCTTCCCTCTTGCCTCAGTTCTGCCAAGTAACTTTTTCTAGGAGCTTGTATCTCCTACTCTTTTAAGTAGTTCTGGAAATTTGATGCTTATAGCACACATCAGCAAGTGTGCATTTTTTTTCATTTGGCAAGATTTAGTTTGCCATGTCTGTCCAAGGAGAGGTGGGAGTATGGTGTTATAAAGATTCATGTCACCGTGACTCTAGAAAACAGCAATTGTTAGATAACCAATGAACTGAAGCCAAAAAAATTAGAACATTAATTTTGGAGATGTTTATATCAGAGAAGATATGCAGCAGCATATGGTATATTGCTTTCCTTCTCTGAGTATTCATCCAAGTAATGTGACACACTTTAAGAAACATGCTGTGAACACCGGGTGTTGGTGGCTCATGCCTTTAATCCCAGCACTCGGGAGGCAGAGGCAAGCGGATCTCTGTGAGTTCGAGACCAGCCTGGTCTACAAGAGCTAGTTCCAGGACAACCTCCAAAGCCACAGAGAAACCCTGTCTCCAAAACAACAAAAAAGAAAGGAACATGCTGTGGTATTTATTAATTAAAGCTTCTGAAAAATGCTCTAAAATTAAACATACCTGTTTTGGCTTATAGAGTACCTTTTTCTTAGCTCTTTTAAGACTGGCTGTGTGCTAGTACTTTTTCATGAGGTTGGGATTAGGTTATTGTGTTCTTCTTTCTTCTCCAAAACAGCTAAAAATAAAACTTGATGACTCTTGGGTAGGGCAGTGATGATGAACATACTTTAGTGATTGAATTTAAATCTTTTGTGTTAAGTGATATTAGCTTTTCTTGAGAAATATGGCTACAGATTCTTAATAAAGCATTGGGGTCTCCATGTCTGTAAACTTTCAGATTACTGGAGTGAGAGTGACAAAGAAGAAGCAGATACTCCATCAACACCGAAACAAGACAGCCCTCCTCCCCCCTATGATACATACCCACGGCCTCCCTCTGTAAGTTAAACATGAGTTTGCTTAGTACTTGGCAGGACAGTTTGAACTTAAATCAGTTTATATGTTAAAATGAAAGTATATTAAATTAGGAGTCAAAAAGATTTCATAGGGAAAAGAAAATTGGTGATCTAAAATCAGAAGGAAAATATGTTTAAAAGTTTCCAAGGGATATTTAATCAAGGAACATGATCATTACAGGTGTTGGCAGAATGAATTTGCCTGGTTTAAAGGGGTTTTAAAGAAATGGAAAGTTTCCTTAGAAAAAGATCTGAATTGATTCTATACTAATAAAGTCAATTTTATGTCTTTTAGAAACAACTGATAAATATTAGCACTATAGTGCTGGAGGTATCACTCAGTAATAGATATCATATGCTATATTAGTTTGCTTTCTATTGGTATAAGAAAACATCATAACCAAAAACAACTTGGGGAAGTCTATTTGGCTTACAAGTCCCCATCATAATCCATCATTGAGGGAAGCCAAGGCAGGAACACAAGCACAGCAGGAACCTAGAGGTAGGAACTCAAGCAAAGGCCCTGGTGAACTCTGTTTATTGGTTTTCTCATCTTGTTTTCTTGCACAGCTCAGAACCACCTGCTCAGGGGTTTCACCACCCACAGTGGCCTGGGCCCTTCACACAAAGTTGCCTATTTAACAGTTCGATGTGGGTATTTTATCAGTTGGCATTCCTTCTTCCCAGATGACTCTAGTTTGTGTCAAGTTTGAAAAAAAATAACCAGCACAGGTGCACGTATCCCTGGGTTTGATTCCCCAGCACTACAAAAGCACATGCTCGTGTGTGTGTGTGTGTGTGTGTGTGTGTGTGTGTGTGTGTGTGTGTGTAGTGTGTGTATACATATACATATTTTGGATATAGCCATGATATCTGCTTTAATATATATGTAAATATATTTATGGTGCTCCAGAATTCTTACAGAATTTTCTTAAATATATAAATTACTCTATGTATAGACAATACTTCAGCCTTTAACTGAGATTAAATAATTACCCTACTTTTCTCGAGACTATGCCAATTTATGCCCATTTCCCATCAAAATTACTAAGAGTGTGTCAGTGTCTCCATTTAATTTAACAGTCATGTTACCAAAATAATCTGCAACTTGGGGCTTAGTCTTCCACAAAGGAAAAGGAAGCTAGTTTATATGACTATACCAGTCAACATGATTTAACCTCTTTGCATTATTCCAAGTAATTAATATTTTCCCTTTGTTTAAAAACACCAGAATCTGAATGATTCCTTTGAGATTTGTAAAAGATGAAAGGGGGACCACAGCTTCACTTTTTTGAAATTAATTTTAATTATCTTCCCCAAAAATAGGTTTTCACACGGCTTTTTAAATGTATCCTTAGTTTTGCTTAACCCTACTCCTGCCCCCTACTCACCAACCCTCCTGCCTGCATCCCCACTTAAATCTTCCAGTCCCCAGTATTTCTTCTGCACCCTTGTTCTACTATTCTTCTGCTAAATGTGTCTTTTTTCCTTTGGAGAGAAACTATTCATTTTATTGTTATTAAGTTGTTGCTCAACATACTACTTAATAAGTTAGAAGGTAACAATCTGCCCATGGATGACGCTAAGTAATTTCTCTCCCTTTTCCAAAAGGGTTTGTATGTTCATCTCAGCTAAATTTGTCCTGGCTGCCACTTCAGCCCCATTTGTGATTAACAAATGAAGCTCCTTGAATAAAGGTACCTGAGCTAGCCTGCTAGTGTCTAGAGCTAGATTAAGGCTTGCCCCACGTAGAGTGCTACACTGAAAATGTTTAATAGCATTTTATTGAAGCTATTCTTTTTTCTTGTCTTTTATACTATAATACATATTCCCAAACTTTAAGTTCATGCACAAGATATATTCATTTTTATGTGCTCTATCATGTCTATACTCACAGAAAATGCTAATCCCCAACAAACTATAATTTCATCCTACCTGTATTTTCAGTTCTCCAGAAATTACCACAGAATTGACAAGACCATCAGACAGCTTTTCTGTGGTACCCACAGAAACAAACATTTACTTATGAAGAAGCAGAAAATTTGCTTTGTTTATAGACAACTTATTCTCACATATAAAAGCCTCTCTCCTTCACTCACCCCCAAGCTGCATGAAACCAAGAAATAGGAATCTAAGGTTTTTTTTTCCCTTAGAATTTCAAAGTATATAAAGATTTTCAAATTGTTTAGTTGCTGTGTGTTTCTTACATAAACATTTACAATTTTTCATACTTCCATTATTATCAGATTTATTCTATTGTATCAGATGTGTCATAGACAACTGTTATATCCGTATCTCAAGATGTCTGTATCAAGTATAAAGTGGGGTCTAAACTTTGAGGTGGCTGCAAACTTGCTACATTCTTACTTGACTGTCTAAGACTTCATTGGCATAAACACTCTGTGGTAAAAAAGAAAGTTCTTTGACAATCGAAATTGTCTGTTATTTCCGCAGATGAGTTGCGCCAGTCCTTATGTGGAAGCAAAGCACAGCCGGCTGTCCTCCACAGAGACCTCTCAGTCTCAGTCTTCACATGAGGAGTTTCGCCAGGAAGTTACTGGGGGCAGTGCTGTGTCCCCCATTCGCAAGACCGCCAGTCAGCGCCGCTCCTGGCAGGATTTAATCGAGACACCGCTGACAAGTTCGGGCTTACACTATCTTCAGACTCTGCCTCTGGAAGATTCGGTCTTCTCTGACTCGGCAGCCATCTCCCCTGAGCACAGGCGGCAGTCTACTCTTCCCACTCAGAAGTGCCACCTCCAGGATCACTATGGCCCATACCCTTTAGCCGAGAGTGAGAGGATGCAAGTGTTAAATGGCAATGGGGGCAAGCCCCGAAGTTTTACTCTGCCTCGAGATAGCGGGTTCAACCACTGCTGTCTGAACGCACCAGTTAGTGCCTGTGACCCACAAGATGACATACAGCCACCAGAGGTGGAGGAAGAGGAGGAAGAGGAAGAAGGGGAGGCAGCAGCGGAAAACGTAGGAGAGAAAAGTAAGTATGTTTCTGGAAATTCTTAGCCTATATACACAGTTATAACTTTTCAACTTCTTATTTGTAGGTTGTTTCTGTTGGAAAAAAAGAATGGTCATGCTGGATAGGAAGTTAGGTCTCCTATGAATTTAGGACAAGCACCTCTAGAATAAATGCTTTTTCTCCCAATTGCCATTTGCTTTTTACTGCTAATGGTTTTCATTTCTTTACTTTCTTTTTCCTCCTTGCTTCTCACTTTCATGCATCACCTTGCTAGTTCACAGTGATTGCTCCCTAAGTTTGGGTTAAGAAACGATAAATGTTTCAAGCAGGCTGCTAACTAAGCCCACCAGCATTAACACAAATGTATTTATATCTTTCCTCTCACTGTTGGATTTAAAGAACAAGTCCAAAAGTCACTCCCCCACCACCACCACCAAAAAAAAAGAAGTTTCATACAGCATTTGCCATCCCAAACTTCAGCTTTTTCTAGAAACCAATTTGCCAGAAGCATCCATTTATTTTGTTGGTATTTACATTGGTTACAAAACTCTATTTGTGGATATTGAATTCTAAAGGAAAAGGAGAAAATTCAGAAACCTTCTGGTAACCCTCTGAGGCGTTTTACCTTAAAAATATGCTCTCAGTCAGGCATAGTGACGCATACATTATATACTTGGGATGTACAGACAGGAGGGTCAGGAATTTGAGGTCATCATCAGATACTTAGGAAACTCAGACCTGATCTGGGCTACATGAGACTCTGTCTCAAAAAAACAAAGCTGAATCTATTTACTAGCTATCAAGTTTGTTATACCAATACCAAGCTTCTATTTATAACTACCATGATACACTGGTTCAGAAACTGGGCCTTGTATAAGGGAAAAGCTGTAACTCAGCTATTTAAAATCAAAGGTCTTTCTGTAAGTCCTAAAAGTAAAATGAAAAGATTGTAGGTGAATAGCATTAAACTCTTTATTTAAATACAATTTAAGTCAATTATTGCAGAGGACTGGAACCAATGATGATTAAACAAGTTATTTGTTTGGTTTCTTTAAGGCATCAACTCCCCATTTTGAAGATACAAATAAAATATAACACTAACCTCATTAGTCAAGTATATGGGACTTTGATTATAGGAGACATTAGCCTAAGCTCTTTATTACTAGTGGGGAAAAAACCTAGCTTACAAGTTACTAACAGGTCAGAAATCTCATTTCAATGTGAAACTTGAAATGGGTAGTCTTTATGCTCACAAAACTTGATGGGTAGTCTACCTCTTCCATCAACATGGTATAAGAAGTTCTTGTAATGAAATTCACATGCTAAGGCAGTTTCAGTGTATATTTTAGACACAGTCTCCAAAAGAAACATTTAAAAAACATGCTGGAAAGGTAATTAGCAACCATCACCTGCAGACCCCACCAACATCCGTATCTGTCAGAGATTATGGAAGATTCTTATGGAAGGAATATTTAGGACTTACCCTATGCTTTTATAGGCATTCTACCAATCCTAGTACATGCTTATTATTGTAATCATTACCAGGATTAACAACGTATTTTCTAAATTTTAAGTATGGGTTAGAAAATTTGTTTTAAATCTCATCCAGGTGTTTTTCAACAACTATGCATAAATATGTGGGTTTTGTTTATTATTATGTAAACCCTGGGGAAGGAGAACACTCCTTCTTAGCCAATTAAACACTATTAAGTTCTGGAATAGAAAATTCTGATCAGAAAACTTTGTATCAATTCTATAGGCAGAGTAATCAACGATTTATTTTTTAAGTGATTTATTGAGTTTGTCTTAGTCATCATGTTGGGAAGACGTAGGAAGACACAATCATGCCTTGCACATGGTTTCCAAAGCCCATAGAGTGTCTCTAGTTAGATGGCTTTTGATATTTTTCTTCAAGAATCCTCTTTCTGTTCTGTGTATAGGATTTATATTTGGACATATGGGTGTACCCCTGTGTCTATAGGATTATCTTTTAAGTTCAGGTTCCAGTTGTATTAAATGCATAATTATTCGATACTGTTCACCTTTTTCAGTGAGCTAAAACAGATGTAGTGAGTTTGTCAATAAATTTAGTATTATACATTTTGTCATTATAGTTCAATACTGTGGTACAATCCATGCAATTTCATTAAAAATTTGTTTCACTAAAATGGTTCTGTAATATCTTTGAGACCCCACCTATTTCTTTGGGGGTACTCCATAAATCTTTCCATTTGATTGTTTTTTTCTGTGTACTTCAAACTGTTTTGCATGGAGCACTGCATTCCATTTTGCCTAGAAGATTTTTCTTATTCAATGCAGTGTATATTCACCTTTCTAATGGTGAGGGATTTTTATTCTAAATATTTAGGGTTGTATAACATGATGAATGTTTCATTTGGAGAAAGATTCACTTGAAAAATCAGTATTTTCAAAATACTATCTAGGATCTAGTTAAAGGATGTCATAATCACACCTTGCGTGGATTGGTCCTTAGAAATAACTACAAAGGCTGCTTATTCAAACGGAGCTGCTTGGTATTATTCCAGAAACAAATTATACACAGAACAAGAATCCATGGACATAATGTCAGCATCCCACTTACATGTACATCCTCTGACACAGAGCACTCATTTATGTAGCCACACAAATCGACAAGCAATGCTAACTTGCAAAACTCAGTCTCTCAGTAGCATATTTCTATCCTGCTTGAGGCCAGCATTCAGTTTGAGCTACTGAAGAGAATGTGTACTAACCATGTGCATAGGTGCAGGGGAAATTGAGTGTTATATCTCTGGCCCAGAACATTTTTTTTTTCATTTTGCCTAAACATTTAAAATAGGAAGTATTTAGAAAAGTGAACAAAATGGGTAATAGAAAACATGAAAATATAAACTGTTTTATAAAATAACCAAACTCCTTTTATATAACTTATTTTGTCTCAATTCATATAATGTTATACATTAAGTGACACATGTTTGCAATGAACTCCAAAGAACAAAAACTTAAGTCAATACCCTGAATGGTTTCCATTTCCTCAAAATTGTGAAATTTAACCTTAGTTTATGAAGGTCAAATTTAGCCTTCCATAGTATAGAATGCAATCTGTGTCTCATGGTTGAGCTACCTTTTGTCTTATTTTTAACTTCAGTTATTTAACTGAGTCACACTCTGACCATTTTCTCAGACTGAACTCATTTTTGTCTGAAAGAGATGGTACTAAAAGTACACACATGAGACATGTCTTGTTTTCCTTTGACTGAAAAGTCAGCATGCATATTAATTATCCTGACCTACTTCTCTGGCATTTGGGAAAAGACAAGTAATTTCCTATTATCCCAATTAGCAGTTTCAAAGCTTACTGAGGTAGGGGCCTTTTAGTACTCTCCTTAAATTAAATTATTAATTATGCCAGCCTCGACAACTTTTAAATAGTATAAATCATTACATTATAAGATAAAATATAAAGCTGTACTTAATTCAGAAATTCTTTGCTATAACACTAAAGTACTTTCTTGATTAACACTGTTAAAGTTGGCTGAGAATGTCTTCTTCTCCTTTGTAATAGTAGGGAATTTAGATGAGGTTTTCAAGGTTTTCAAGGTTATCGTTTGATCCTGCTGATTTCCTCCTTGGCAGTTAGAAGATACTCTTTCTTATATATGAGTGCACACATTCTTTGCACACTCATTTCTTTAATAAAGTCATAATATCCTCTTTTTCATTATCTTGGAGATTACCTACCAGTATTCTCATTTGACTTCCACATGTATTTAGCTTAGTCTTGGAAATCTAAAACAAAACCTAGGTCTTTCAGCCTGAGTGGAAAGAGATTCAATCTATTACCACATAACTACAGTATACATGAGGTTATCTGGAAATGACATCCATGCTTTCCTAATTAGAGCTTCTAAAAATACTTACTAAATTTATATTTTAAAATACAATATTCTTTGCATACCGTTGGCAACGTGGGAGCTGTACAGGTTGTGTTGTACGTCAGTAGCCTAATACCTGTAAATATCTAGGCAGAGAGGCTGAACAACAACTATTAATACAGTGCAGAGAAGATGCCTTCATCCTCTCCAGTTATTATAAGGGTCCAACAGTCACTTCTTGGAGAGTCTATAAAATGTATGAATCTTATCTTTAAGAGCATTCGGGGAGATTGTGGGCAACAAAATGACATATTTTGAATACAAACCTGCGTTGAATGTGGGATTGGAGGAATAGAACAAGTTGAGATAAAAGAAAATGTTGCATCACTTTTTTCTTTATTTTCAAGGTAAATTTTGCATACAAGTAATTGGGGAGAGCATCACCATAAATAATCTCTGAAATTACAGTTGAAATCTAAATGGAGTAGATAAAGAAGGACACAGCAAACTGAATTAAAGGATGTGATAAAGTCTAAGAATACCTTAAATATGTCACTTTCAGGCACCATCTTTGGCTGGTTTTACAAGTAAATATAAAGAAAGAACATAGAAAACCTAGGGAGAAATCTCAATATCATATTATTTGATGTATAATACTGTAAGGGAGTATAAAACACTAATAATTCTAATACTGGTTAGAGGTTAGATTTTAAATCACACTACCCTTATTTTTTGCTTACATGATAAAGACAATTATTAACCATTATTGATATGAAACATATATCAAAGTTGTGCATCTATTTATTTCAGACATTATTTAAAGCTAGAACTTGCAAGGGTTTAGCATACACTGTTTATGCTGGGATTCTAGTAACTAGAATTACTGCTCTTTGTACTCTGACGACTTTTTAGTCACATTGAGTGTGATTGGATATGGTAGAAACAAGCCTCTCCTGTATAAGTCCTATTTCAAATATAAATGTCACAGATGTATGACATGTGAAATGATTAGTTCATTTTCATAAACCAGTCAGAAAACAGATCTTTCAAACACCTTTGAGCTATTGTCCTTACACCAAAAGCCATAGTGTTAGATAAGAAGGTGACTCAAAATAACTGTGTTCATGGTTCACAGCCTTGGGT